GGGGGCTCCGGCGTGGGGCGTCGATCCTCTGCCGGGCTCGTGGTTCCGTGCGTGGCGAGGAGCGAGGCGTGGAGCCCGACTCCCTGTCCTCCGGGCCAGGACTCCTGAGTCCATGTGCGCGCGGGGCTCGGGGTGGCCGCCCCCGGTTGGGGCTCCGCGTGGGTGGCGAGGGCTGCGGGCCCAGCAGGGCTGGTTCAGGGGCGTCGCGGCCCTGAGAGGGTGGCAGTGGCCCCCACAGCTCTTGGCCTGGCCCAAGGATCTGGGCACGGATGGTGACCGTCAAGTTACACCAGCACCCGCGGGCGGCCCTTCGCGGGGGAAATGGGGCTCTCCGGGTCCATCCTGGGGTTTGTGCAGAGGAGGGAAGGCTTGGTGTGTGGAGGACACTCGGTGAGTCTTTTCTTTCCTGCCTCTGTGAAAGGAATGTGCGGAGTTCCTGTACCTGTACCTGCTGGACAGCTTGGGATGCTGCTGTCCCCTCCGTGAGGTCCTCACCTGCACCTCCCGGGTGGGGTGCTCGGGACCAGGCCGGCGCAGGCATGCCCATGCTGTCTGAGGACTCTGGTGAGAGTGGCCCCTTTTCGTGCCCTGCCCGCCCCGCCTGCACACCCTGGGGACGAGGGTGGCTTAGGGTGCCCCGGGGCAGGAGGCCCTTCGAGCGCCGCCCCTGATTTCCTGTGCCTGCCCCAGGCCTGCATGAGACCCTGGCGCTGCTCACGTCCCAGCTGAGACCTGACTCGAGCCACCGGGAGGAGATGGGCTTCCTGCGGGACGTGTTCAGTGAGCGGAGCCTCAGCTACCTGATGAAGGTGCCGCCGGAGGGCCCCAGCCACCTCGGCCCTCGGGCATCTGAGCTGTCCCGCCCTAGTCCCCGAGGCTGTGGGCGGTGCAGGGGTGCAGAGTCAGCGGAAACCTGGTGTCCTTGCAGATACACGAGAAGCTGCGCTGCTACGAGCGGCAGAGCCCGACCCCGGTCCTGCACAGCGCCGTGGCCCTGGCCGAGGACGTGAGTCCCGGGACCTCCTGGGCGGTGGCAGCTGACTTCCTGGCAGTTGCTGCCTCCTCTACCCCTGTTGGCGCTGCTTAACTGAGGTGTCTGTTGGGGCCCCAGAGTTGAGGGCCCTCCTCTTCCTCCTCCTGATTGCCGGGGAGGGCCTCACAAGGCCTGACGGGCTAGGGGCTGGGGGCATGGTGACACCCACTCCTGTTGTGCTCTGCAGGGAGCCTTCTTCCTCAGCTGTGAAATGGCAGCTTTGTGTGGGTCCAGCCCTTCGCTGGCCATCCTGACGCTGGCGCCACGTGGCGCCCTGGAGTCGAGGGGCCGTCGCCGTGTCCCTGCTCCCCCGGCAGGCTCCTGGGAACTGAGTAACCGAGCTCAGAGGCTCCGTGCTAAGATCCACTTGCAGCCCCTTTCAGGGGGCAGAGACGGGGTCTTGCTGAGTTGCTTAGGCTGGGGCTATGGATGTGTGCCACCATGCCTGCTGGGCTCCACACTGTTCAAGGGAAGCTTCTGGATTCCCGGTGGCCGCAGTCCTCTGCGCTGCAGGACTGGGGAGGAGCCACCCACGACCTCCACTTGCTCCCCATAACTCGCTGTGTGTGGGGAGGGCCTGGCGGGCCGGGGCAGCCCCCATACCTGCTCTTCCCTGCCTGTGGCATCGAGCAGGTTGGGTCCATCACCCACTCCCAGGCCCCTGCTGCCTTTGCCGCCTGCTGTGTGACCTTCCCACGGCACCCATCTCCCTGCCCTGTGGTGTCCTCAGCCGTACAGTGGCCCAGCCATGGCACAGGGCTGGCCTGGTGGGGCCAGGTTCAAGTCCCAGCTCTGCCACCTGGAGGTCGGCGCCCTCAGGGCTCAGGGTTCTCATCTGTGTCCTGCACCCTGCCTTCCTTGCAGGGGTTCACGCAGGGTCAGGGCTCCCTGGTATGACTCCCGGGGCTGGCTGAGGGATCCAATTTGCCCCTGGGTGTCAGAGGCCGGGGAGCAGCTCCCTGAGGACGCACCTGTGTCTGTTGCAGGTGGCGGAGGAGCTGCAGGCTGCCTCTGCGCATGGTGATGAGAGGGAGCTGCTGCAGCTGCTGGCCACGCCCCACCTCAGGGTAGGGACCCTCGTCCGGACCAGCCACCTCCAAGGCCACCCCTGTGACTCACAGCTCCCGCGTGGGTTGCTGGAGCTCCGCATTGCTGTCCTTCTGGCGCGTGCGTGACCCCCGCCTCCTGCCCCCCTGCAGGCTGTGCTCATGGTGCACGACACTGTGGCCCAGAAGAATTTCGACCCCGTGTTGCCGCCTCTGCCCGACAACATCGACGGGGAGTTTGAGGAGGAGTCAGTGAAAATAGTGCGCTTGGTGAAGAATAAGGAGCCCCTGGTGCGCAGCGCCCGCCTCTCCCCTCCCAGAGGCTGCCCGGGGCCTCCCGAGTCCCCGGTGTGGGCAGCAGCTGCTTCCCTGCGCGCTGCGGCCCTGGCGGCTTGTTTGTGTGCAGGGCCCTGCTTTCCCCTCGGCTTTGGGTCCGACCGGTGCTGCGGCTCAGGGCTCCCTGTGCAGACCGCCGCAGCTCCTTAGCGGGGTCTTCTCTGGTGTCTGCTCTTTCCTGGGCTGTGCCCTATACCTGAGCGCTGGCGGGGGCTGGTTGGGTGCCGGGCCACCTCGTGGTTGGGGTGGGTGGGTCAGGCATCTGAGGCACACGTTGTCCCCATTTACAAATGTCTGCAGGCGCTGGTGGGGCTGGGAGCTTCCCGTCTCCCCATCTGAGGGTCCGGTCCTCTGAGATTTCACAGGGTCACTGTGCTGGTCCTAGCAGGAGATGGCTGGTTCTCCTGTGTGCCCCCCGGATTTGCTGTTGGTGATGGGAAGCTGGGTCTCGAGGCCGGCCTCCTCCCCAGCCTTCCTGTTCTGTGTGCGGTGCAGGGAGCCACCATCCGGCGGGATGAGCACACTGGCGCTGTCGTGGTGGCCAGGATCATGCGAGGGGGTGCGGCCGACCGCAGCGGTGAGTGCTGTCCCTTTCCACTCCCTTGGCCACTGCCTGTGACAGGCTCTGCCCGCCTGGGCTGAGGCACCCTCTCCTTCCCGCCAGTCAAGATAGAAAGGCTGATTGATGGCTGGGGTCCTGGGGCCCACGGAACAGTGTGTTGTGGATCAGCCTCCTGCCTGGTGTGTCCCCTCCCTGCCCCTGCAGGGTCCGTCCGGCTGCGTGGCCCAGGCGGTGGAGGCCGGGTTGAATCAGAGTGCAGGGCAGTGGTGGCGACCCTGAGCAGGGAGGCCCTGGAGTTTGGGGCCCTGATTGAGAGGTGTCCTAGACCAGAGCCAACCAAATGCGGAGGAGCGCCTTGGTGGCCCCTGGGTTCAATTCCGGAGCTCCCTCTCCACACTGCCATGGCCCAGTGCTCACCGGAGCTGCAGACAGGGCGGGATATGAGGATGCCCACAGCAGTGCACGCCATACTCCAAGCTCCTCTGGAGGCTGAGGCAGGAGGGTCACTTGAGGCTAGTTTTAAGAGTGGCTTGGGCAGCATCATAAGACCCCATCTCAAAAAAAAAAAAAAAAAGCTGATAGGTGGCCACGTCCAATGCTCCTGATGACGCTGTCCCTGGTGCCCTGGGTCCTCTTGCTTAGGTGGTGCTCCTGGAGTCCACACCTGGGAAGGACAAGACTTGAAGCCCTCTACTTCCTTTTCTGTTCGTGCTCTTGCAGTGCTGGGTTGGACCCAGGGCCTTCACCCTGAGCTGTGTCCCCAGCCTTGTTTATTTTGAGACACAGTCTTGCTGAGTTCCTCGGGTAGGACTCAAACTTGTAGCTGTCCCGCCTCAGCCTCTCAGTGAAGGTCACAGGCGTGCACCACCGCACCCAGCTAGTTAATGACGTTTTAAGGAGGTGGAAATTGGGGCAAGGAACGCAGCTTTCTACCCTCACTTGTGTCTCAAGATCAGACGGCCGCATCTCTGGTTCCAGCTGGGCTTGTGCCTGGGGCCGCACTGGGCAGTGAGGAGTGCATGCCCCATGCTGGGTCTCCAGCTCTTGTGCTGACGCCGCCCTGTGTCCCCAGGCCTGGTCCATGTTGGGGATGAGCTCCGCGAGGTAAACGGAGTCGCCGTCCTGCACAAGCGGCCAGACGAGATCAGCCAGATTCTGGTTGGTGCTGCTGCCTGCGGGCTGGGGTGGGGAGTGGGCTCCCAGGGCTTCCTGGTGCTGGCGGCCTCTCGCCTTCGGGGCTGTAGCCCCAGGGCCCCTCCTGGTCCCCTGCTTTCTGGCGGAATGCCGGGGCAGCTCTCTCCTCACCTGGATTGGGAAAGGAGGGAAGGAGGAGGTTTCTCTGAGGGCAGGGCAGTGCGCGGGGCCCACATCTGGGGAATGAGTCCAGGGATGCCGTGGGCCCTGAGCAGGGTGCACGTCCTGGAGTCGAGGCCGAGGGGTGGGCACATGGGAGGAGGGCTCCGGCTCTGAGACCAGGCGGGCTGCGGCCCCCGGGGGACCGGAGGGTGACAGGCCCTCCTTCCTGTCCACCAGGCCCAGTCCCAGGGCTCCATCACCCTCAAGATCATCCCGGCCACCCAGGAGGGGGACCGCTTCAAGGAGAGCAAGGTAGGGCCCGGGGTGGGTGGCTGAGGCCCGAGTCCGCGCCAGCCTGTTAGCGGGATGTGAGCAGGGTTTGGTGGCGCCTGCTCATGAGGGACAGCGGTGGCCGTGGGGGGCATGTCCGAGCAGACCCTGGTGAGGCTCCCTTGGTGGCCGCTGCACTGATGCTGGAGCCCGACACTCAGCGGCTCCCGGCGCAGAGGGAGGCAGGAGTGGTACCTGCGCCCTGAAGAGCGCAGTTGGGGCTCCCTGGAGGCGTCTTGTCTCGGAGGCCTGTGCTGGGAGTTGGGGGGCCTCGGGGAGCAGAGCAAGCTGGAGAGCAGGCCCCCACGCAGGGCTCTGGGGAGGTGCTGGGGTTGGGGCCGGGGTCCCGCCCGTGTGTGATGGCCGGAGTGCTTCGTGAAGGGTTGGGGTGCCAGCCTGCCTGGGGTCTCTCAGAAGCTGCCCTGGCCCTGGCACAGGGGTTTCGGTGCACACGGGGACCAGGTTGTCTGGGGTTTGTCTCTGGGTCCTCCTCTGTCACAGCAGGCGCTTGCACTCAGCTGTGCCTGGCAAGGCGTTAACCCTCAGCGGTCCCGAGCTGGGCTGGAGGCCCGGGAGAGACAGCGTAGCGGGGCCCGTCTTTCTCAGACTCCCCTGCCGTGGATTTGCTTGTTTTCTGGTTTTTTGGTGTTGTGGATGGAGCTAGGGCCCAGGCTTGGAGCTGAGCTGGCCTTTCTATGACGTTGGTTCAGAACCTCCCTAGGTGGAGGCAGAAGGGTGCCAGATTGGGCCTCTTGGGTGTTGAGAGGGAGTGAGCTTGGGGACCGCACCCGACGCGGAGCCGAGGCCCACCGGGTCTGACAGCGGGGTGAGGGCGAGTAAAGGGCGTGATATGAGGGTGCCTCAGTGGGGAAGACGCTCTTCCCTGTTTGCAGTACTAGGGATGGAGCCCAGGGCCTTCGTCATGCTGGGCAAGCCTCTCCCACGGAGCTCTCCCCCAGACTGTTTATTTCTATGTACTTCCAAGACAGACCTGTTTTTTTTTGTTTTGTTTTGTTTTTGGCATGGGGGATCAAACTGAGGACCTTGTGCTTGGCAGGCAGGTGCTTGTGCTGCTGAGCTGTATCCCCGGCCCAGACTTTTCTCAATCACCCAGGTTGGACTTGAACTTGGGATTCTCCTGCTTCAGCCTCCTGAGTAGCTAGGAAAACAAGTGTGTACTACCCTGCCTGGCAGAAGTAACCTAACATGGCTGTATGGCTGTTTCTGTTCTTCTTGTGCTTTTTTTTTTAATTGTTCTGGGAATCAAACCCAGGGCCACTCTACCACTAAGCTATACCCCAGCCCCTTGCTCAGCTGTCCAGGCTGACCTCAGACTTTCAGTCCTCCTGCCTCAGCCTCCTCTGTGCCCTGCTCATTGTGACTGTGCTTGTTTGCATGAGGCTGGCGCTGGCCGGATGGAAAGTGATTCCTGTAGCAGGCGGCCGAGCTCCCCTTCGCTGCTCTGAGGGCTCTGGCTTGGCCCTGGTTCCGCTGGAGGACACGCAGGCACTGTCCCCAGGGCCTCTGCTCAGGTTCCTTCCTGACCCAGGTGCTGGTCAGAGTTGCCGGTCCCCAGCTGTGCTGGCTGAGGCTGGAGGGACTCTCTCCCCAGTGCTCAAGGCAAGATGGCCTTCCCCTCCTGCCGGCATGCAGAGGCAGAGTCGAGCTCTGTCTCAGGATGGTGCTGAGCCCAGGTCCTGCTCTTTTTGCCCCTGGGCTCCCGCGGCGCTGATGGCCACAGGGTTACAAGGGACCCAGATAGCGGGGGCCTCCCGGGCGGGGCGTGGGGCTCGCAAGCAGTGACTGGGAGGCGGGACTGGGTGGCGGGAGACGGAGCAGGGTCTCGTGGGCCTCTGCGTTCTTACGGGCGGTGAGCTTCGCATTTCACAGACGCGGTCTCCGGGCACAGGTAGGGCAGCGTCCCAGCTGCGGGTTGCACTGCGTCCCGCTTGGTCCAGGCCCACGACTGGCTGTGGATGGCACGTGGCAAGCAGGGGGGCGGGAGTGTCCAGGTGGGGGGAGAAAGGCAGCCCCATGCCGCTCTGTTAGTTTCTGATTGTCCAGGAATTTCAGGATGGGGGCGTCTGAGATGACTGACGCACAGTTAGCAGAGCTGGGTGCAGTGGCGCACACCTGCGCTCCTAGCACGTGGGAGGCTGAGGCAGGAGTATCGCAGGTTCGAGGCCAGCCCGGGCAACTTAGTGCCTTAGAGAGACTCTGTCTCAGGAAAAAGGGCTGGGGATGGAGCTCATGGCGAAGACCCCAGGTTCAACCTGCAGTGCCGCAGAAAGCTGTGAAGGAGCAGAGGAGACCAAAGCCAGCTGCTCTTCCTGGGACACCCCGGCCCTCTGCGTGGCTGTCACCTTCGGCCACTCACAGAGCTCTCCCCACAGGTGTTCATGCGGGCCCTGTTCCACTACGACCCCCGTGAGGACCGCGCCATCCCCTGCCAGGAGGCGGGGCTGCCGTTCCAGCGCAGGCAGGTGCTGGAGGTGGTGAGCCAGGACGACCCTACCTGGTGGCAGGCCAAGCGTGTGGGCGACGCCAACCTCCGGGCCGGCCTCATCCCCTCCAAGCAGTTCCAGGAGAGGTGGGTGGCGGCCGAGGTGGTCCCCCTGCTGCAGCGCTGCGCTGCTGCTCCTGCCTTGCTGTGTGAATGTTGCATGCAGAAATGGGGGTATTTTCTTGTTGTTCTTTTAAAATTTTGCTGTACTGGAATTGAAGCCAGTGTTTTTTTTTTATTTTGCATTTTGAGACATGGTCTCCCTAAGTCACTAAGTTGCCCAGCCTGGGTTCAAACTTGGGATCCTCCTGCCTCAGCCTCCCAGAGTGCTGGGACGACAGTGCGCACCACCACATGCAGTTTTGTTTTCCTTTTTTAGCGTAGCGTTTTGGCACTGGCTGTTCCCCTACAATCACGTGCTCTCTCTGTGGTGTGATTTGAGCTTTGCCCTCCACAGACGGCAGGTTTATCACAAACCGGGCTGGCCTTGTGCTGGGTACCTTGGGTTGCCGGGGTGGTGGGAAGTGAGAGGTCCTTGAACACACCCAGGCGTGCAGGAGGTGTCCAGCAAGGGTCCTGGTGGAGGGCGTCGCTGTGCCTCTTCCTGTGTCACGAGGCTGCAGTCACGCACACAGAGGCCACTCAGTCCTGAGCCGTTTCCATGGGGTCTGTGTCCAGGGTGAACCTGGGCCGAGGCTGGGGTGCCCGGCTGTGGCTCTGGCCTGGCAGCACCCTCCTGGCACCCATGTGTGGGGTGTGGCAATGACTGTACTGGCCTCCTGGCGAGGTCCCCAGGCCCGGGGGCTCTGCAGCACCCTGAGATCTGGGTCCCCTATGCCAAGGTGAGCGGGCTGCACCCTGCTGTGGTCCTCAGGGAGCGCCAGCCCTGGCAGGAGCCTGGGTGCCAGGGCCCTGGTGACACTGACAGCCCACGGCTGGTGCCCTTGCAGACAGCGGGGCGGGGCGCTCTGCCTGGGAGGAGGGCGTCGTGCTGGGCCCGGGGTCTGGGGCTGCCCTGTTCCCTGGAGGGGGAGGCTGTGGGAGGCCGTGCTCATCGGGACTCAGGCCTTGGTCCCCTCCGAGTTCCCGGCTCATGGCCCCCCTGGTGTCCCGCAGGCGACTCAGCTACTGGAGAGCGGTGGGTGCCCTGCCGAGCCCCCCGAGCCTCAGGAAGCCACCCTGTGAGTAGCTGGACACTGCCCGGAGGCCATCGGGTGGGCAGGACTGGGGGGTATGGGGGAACTGGGGGCGGCGTCTGTGATTGGGGCCCTCAGATGGCACTGGGAGTTCACCGCTCCTCAGTGGGGTGCGGACTCTGGCTGCGAGCCGTCCTGTGTGGGGAGACGCGGGTCCCCCCAATGGCCCTGAGCCGAGCGCGGCCTCCTGGTGGTGGTGGTGCGTTCTTGGTGCGCGTGGCCCCCGAGAAGCTTTGTTGCTCACCACGTGCCCACGTGTAACACAGTGTCCTGTGCGTTAAGGACAAACCCCCGCCCTCCTGCCCCTGTTTACCTGGTCCTCATTTCCTCATGGCGCTGGGGAGGAGCCCAGGGCCGCACGCTCGCTGGGTGAGCGCTTGACCAGGCGCCCCGGCCTTGTAATAATCACAGCAGTCCCCGGAGGTAGGCAGAGTCGGGTGCCTCTCCCCAAGGGGGAAGCTGGAGCCTCCAGAGCTTAGTGAGCACAGCTGGGGTTTCGGGCACCCCATGTGCAGATGCCAGGTGACCAGAGCCCGCTGGCCTATGGCTGAGTGCCCAGGGTGGGGCACCTGCCTTTCCCAGCAGGCCTGCAGCCTGGGTGGGAGCGGGGAGCCGCGGGGCCCTGTGGGGGATGCAGGCAGAGCAGGCGGGGTAGCAGCAGCCGGCTGGGGCCGGAGTGGTGGGGAGCGGCAGGCGGAGCCCCGGCCCCCGACTCCTGCCCGCTAACGCTGTCCCATCTGTCTCTTGTGCAAACTGCAGACGACCAGCCTTGTGACCCAGGTAGGCTGGTGTTGTCCCGGTGACACAGGCAAGGCGCCTTTTCGGGGGGCCCTTGGGCTGGAGGGGCTGTGCCCGCTGGATGGGCTTCTGGGCCTCGGGCCCCCAGCTTTCCACCTGCCCCGTGGGAAGGGGCACCTGCTGCTCCTGGGCCCGGAAAGGCTGTGGGGAGAGCACGGGGCACGTGTATCTCAGGGGTTGAGCCGTCAGGGCAGCCAGGACCCTGGGCGCCCTGCCCACCCCATCCCTGGCTAAGCATGGGTCCAGCCCTTCACCGGTTGCCCCCGTTTGGTTCCCAGAGACCTGTGACTGTGACGGGCACCTCAAAGGCCACTATGTGGGTGAGTGACCGGCCGTCCCGATGCCCCTCGGCCTCGCGAGTTGGGGGACACAGCAGAGCGATCAGGGGAGCCCAGAGTCCAGCTGCGAGTGGCAGAACCCGAGACCCTCATCTCCCGGCCCGTCCTGCAGAGTGCGGAGCGGGGCTGCGTCCCTCAGTCCCTTTCCTGGGGACGAGGACGTCCCCCATGTATCCTCAGCACCTCGATCATGCTGGGAACCTGAGCCCTCGCCTGCACTCTCTCACACCACGGTCCCCACCTCCGCGTGCCCCGTCCAGTCCCGCGGGATCTGACCAGACCCCGCTGTGTGTAGCTTTGTGTCCTGGTTTCACAGGTGGGCAGTGTGGGTCTCCTGAGGTCAGCTGCAGGTCAGCAGAGTGGTGACTTCGTGCCCGTGGGCTGGATGCAGGGCCCAGGGCTGGCAGGGAGGCAGCCTTTCCTGGGAGGTCAGGGACAAATGCACCGTGTCCCTCTGCCCTCCCAAGCTGGTCTGAGGAGGAGCTTCCGGCTCGGCTGCCGTGAGAGGCCAGGCAGCTCGCAGGATGGGAAGGCGCCTGTGGGCTCGGAGTCCCTGGAGTTGCCCACCTATGAGGAGGTGGCCCGGTACCAGCCCCAGCCCGGCGAGCGGCCCCGCCTCGCAGTTCTGATTGGTACGTGGCGTCTCCAGGTCTAGGGTGGTGGTTTCCTCCCGGGGCGCAGGGGCTGGTGGGAACCCAGCTCCCCTCTGCTCTCCAGGGTCTCTGGGTGCCCGGCTGCAGGAGCTGAAGCAGAAGCTGGTGGCTGAGAACCCGCAGCGCTTTGGCGTCGCCGTGCCACGTGAGAGGCCTGGTGCTCGTGGTTGGTGGGGGCCCCGGGAGTGTGTCGGGGCCTGGACGCCACATTCACCCGAGGATGGGGCAGGACTGAAGCAGGCTCCGTAGACGGCTGGGGCCCCTGGGCTCTGCCGCCTGTGGCTGTGGGCTGCTGGCCGCTGTGCTGGGCTCCTCTGTGCCTCAGTCTCCCCAGCAGCAGAGAGAGGCCTCCTGCTGACCTCAGGGTCGTAGGGACCAGGATGTGGTGGGGAGGGTGCTGTGCGGGACTCCAGGGTCCTGGCCAGGTGGGATGGGGGAGCCCTGGGGGCGCCCGACACTGCGCCCTTGTGCTGCACCCGCGCCCAGCTCTTCTCCTCCTGTGAAGACACCACCCGGCCGCGGCGGAGCCACGAGAAGGAGGGTGTGGAGTACCACTTCGTCTCCAGGCAGGCATTCGAGACTGACGTGCAGCACAGCAGGTAGAGTGGGGCCGGGGTCCCCGCCTGTCCCCAGGCCCAAGGGCGGTGGGAGGGGGTGGAGGGGAGCCGTTCTCCTCCGGCTGCCTTCGGAGGCGCGGGAGCCGCACACCCGCCTCCTGGCGCTGTCGCAGGTTCCTGGAGCACGGCGAGTACCAGGAGCACCTGTACGGGACCAGCCTGGGGGCCGTGCGCGCCGTCGCGGCCAGGAACAAAGTCTGCGTGGTGGATGTGCAGCCTGAGGTGAGTGCCCGGGCCGGCGGCCGAGAGCTGGCAGATTCGCGCGCTGGGGGCTGGACGTCGTACAGGACGCCGGGCCTCACTTTAAGGACATGGCAGCCTAGGATCCTGGGCATTAAATATCCTGGGGTCACTGCGAAGCCTGGAACCGCAAACAGGATCCGTGTGCCAAGCTCTGTGTGATTGCAGGGTGCTCGGGCCTCATGGTGGCCCCAGCCCAGGGCAGGGACCCCCGTGGGGCAGGTTGTGGGAGGGACAGTGTCCCTGACATAACACCAGATCAGGTGCATAGACGCAGGTGGCGTCTGTCCAGCTGGTTGCTCACAGAGCCCTGCTGCCTCGGCCACAGCAGTGGGTGGGTGGAGCAGGGCCTGGCGAGTGACCCACAGCCAGCACCTGAGCTGAGACCTCCCTGTCTTCGAGGGGCCTTCAGGCCCAGCTGAGTTCAGGGTCAGAAGGGAGGGGCGGGAAAAATCGTGTCCGGGTGAAGCCCGCTGCCACAGGAGTGGGTGACTGGGACCTTTGCCGCTGGGGTTCCAGGGGCGGCACTTTGCAAGTTCCACATCACAGCAGGGTCGTTTCCGTGGGTGTCGTAACCCCAAACTTCCTTCTTCAGGCTCTGAAACAGCTTCGGACCTCAGAGTTCAAGCCCTACGTTGTGTTTGTGAAGCCGGCGGTGCAGGAGAAGAGGAAGACGCCACCCCCGTTCCCAGCCTGTGAGGACGCAGCAGCCCTGCCTGTGAGTGTGGCCTTCAAAGGCGCAGGAGGCTCGGGAGGCGCCTCTCTCGGGCATTGCGGGTGGTGGGCGTGGGGCTCCTGTGCAGAAGGCCACCGATGGCCACAAGGCCAGAAGGCCCAGGTGGGACGTGGCTTTGTGGCACGTGTCCCTCCCAGCATGCACACGTACGCACACACATACGAGCCCTGCCCCCAGCGGGGGCTGACACCTTCAGACAGTGTTTTCCTGCTTTTGTTTCAGGATTGGGTTTTGCAGTCCTGGGGGTTAAACCCAGGGCCTTCGCGGGAGCTCCATGCTCAGCCCTTTTTCCGTTTCGCTTTGAGACAGGGTCTGGCTAAACCACTAAGGTGCCCAGGCTGGGCTTGAATTGTGGTGTTCCTGCCTCAGCCTCCCAGAGTGTTGGAATGACAGGCGTGTCACCAGGCCTGTGGTCTTCTAGAGACCGGGTCTGAGTGTGACAAACCACATGTATCTGGGTGGGGCACCCAGGCCGAACCCCCATGTTTTCTAACTGCAGCACAACTGCCAGGTCACGGTGGTTGCTTTCAAACATGTCTGAACCGTGGCAAATCAACCCAGCTGTGACCCAAGGGTGCAGCTCCCGCCTCGGGCTCAGGGCCTGGCCTCCTCGTCCAGCCCGGGCTGTGTCGTGGCCCCGCGTTGTCTTGCCGGAGCTGCACCGTGCTGGTTTCCAGAGGCGCGGCTGAGATGGGGACGCAGCTGCGGAGCCACAGCGGTCTCTGCTCACTGCCGGGCTGGGTGCCCTCGGCACGTGGCTGTCCGGTGGCCGTCCCCTGCCCATTTGTTGAAAAGATTTTAAAATTTGATGGTCTTGGCAGCCTTGTCTAAAGTCAAGCAGGGAAGGGTTTGTCTGTGGGCTCTCGGCTGCATTTTGCTGATCTGTGCTCACACCTTGCTGCCGTCTCGGGCGCCGTGGCTCTGTAGGGTTTTGAGGTTGGGAAGTGAGATTGTCCACATGTTCCTTCTCTTCCAAGGTCATCTTGGCCCTCTGGGTCCCTGCCGTTTCCATACAAATTCTACGGTCAGCTTGGCAATTTGTTTTGCTTTGGTTTTTTTTAAACAAATATTTTAGGATTGATGGGATTTAATAACCTAGGGTAAAAGGCTTTTAGAGTCAAGAATCAGTTGGCCCCCCCACCCCTGGGGAGGCTGAGGCAGGAGGATCTCCAAAAGTTTGAGACTGGCTTGGGGTCCATAGTAAGACCCTGCCTCAAAAAAGTGAAAATAAAACAACAAAAAAAGCAGTGATGGAGAGGATAATAGGTGGCTTCCCAGGAACTGAGAGACCAGCCAGCTCCCATGGGAAGCCAGTTCCCAGGCACTTGGCATCTCAAGTAACGTTGATGTCAGAGTGACTGGTGTCCCACAGCCTGGCCACGACGTCATCTGCTCCTTCCCTGAGTCCTCCGCAGCCTGCTGTGTCCTGTGAATCCACCTGGCCCGTGGTTCCAGTTGTCTGGGGTCCAGTGTTGGCCTGGTGGTACAGCCCGTGTCTCGGGAGGCTGAGGCAGGAGGATCGAAAGCTAGAGCCCAGCCTGGGAAACTGTGAAACCTTGTCTCAAAGTAGGGCAGGTGTGTGGCCCAGTATATGTGTCGCCAAAGCAACATGGCTTGTGGCTCAGTGAGAGGCTCTGTGTTCAGTCCCCGGTTCTGTGTGCACATATGTGCAACACACACACACGACACGCACACCTGTGCAGACGCATGCACACACACGTGCGCCCCAGCCGCCCCGCCTCTGCCCCGCAGGACGAGGAGCAGCAGGACGTGGCCGCCTCCGCTGCCTACGTGGAGCAGTGCTACGGGCACCTGGTGGACGCCGTGCTGGTGCGGGAGGACCTGCCGGGCGCCTGCGCGCAGCTCCGGGCGCTGCTCGAGAGGCTGGGCACGGACGCACAGTGGGTGCCCATCAGCTGGGTCAGGTAACTCTGTCCTGGGACATCCTGCCACCGGGCACTCGGATCCACGCGGCCGGCCTGCCTCAGCCTACCACCCAGGAACGGCGCCCCAGACAGCAGCAGTCCCGCGGACTCCCGGGAGGAGACAGTCGGGGTGCCGTGCTGCCAGGCTTTGCCGTTTGTCACTGTGCCCTTTCATGGTTGGTGGGGCGCAGCAGAGTACCCGTCACTCACTAAAGTGTACGCAAGCCGGGTGCGTCTCTGCGGGGGAAGCCCTGGCAGGTGGGCAGGCGGCGGGCGGCCACTCAGCACCATCTCTGCCCCTTGAGTTGGTATGCGGGACGAGGAGCTGTTTGCCCGCACTTCCACACTCTGCGTTTCCAGCTGCCAGCCCTGAAACGCTGCGTCAGTGTGTTTGCCAGTGCAGGCTGTATGCGGGAGGCTCCTCTCCTGCCATTTTATGTAAGGAGCACCTGCGACTGTGGGAGACAGAGGGGCCTGGCGCGGCCACAACTCGCCGCCTCTTCCCGGCGGAGGGACCTGAAGGCGGTCCCTTGCCCCAAACCCTGTTGCTAACGCTGGGCCTTGCCCTGTCTGATGTGCCTGTCCTTCCCGGGGTTGACGGTGGCCTTGGGTCAGCCTGGCCGTGCTCTGATCCTTGGGCTCCTGCGACCTGAGTTGTCGGGGGCCGGGCAACCCGCTCCCCACGCTCCGTCAGGCCTGTCCCGTGAGCAAAAGCACAGGCGCAGGCGCGGCCTCGAGTGGGCCCTGCGCAGAGGTGGCGGTCACCCAGCTGTGGCGAAGCTGGCCAAAGTCTCCATTCTGAGGGTCGGCCCGTGTGCAAGGTGAAGGCCCCGTGTACCTGAACATGCCAGGCCACGGGTGAGAGTCTCGCCTCCCCGTGCCAGCTGAGAGACGGTGAGGCTGGAGAAAGACAGACAACATGCGTAGAAAGCGGCACCGCCAGGCGGTTGGAGCTTGAATCTCCTGGTGTTGGAGACGTCCCTCCTACCCGCTACGTAACGCTCCCGCATTGTCTGTGTGCAGCCCAGGCTGGTGTCAGACTGGCAGTGATCCTTCTGCCTCAGCCTCCCGAGTGCTGGAATGATGGGAGCACCATCACTCCCAGCGTAATACTCCTCTCCTGTGGTCCCATCATGGAGGCCCCCCGTGAAGTCAGCCTTGCACAAAATGTCACTGGGGTGACAGTGCAGCATGCCATGCTGCCTGAGTCGGACAGGTGGCTGCTTCCAGCACAGAGGGGTTGGGTCGCTGCTGCCGCTGAGAAATCTCCTTTCCACCCGCTGCGGCTCCCCGGGGGTGGGGCTCCCTCCCGCGGGTCGGGCCTCCTGACCACAGAGCCCGGGCGGCAGCCGGGAGGGTGCGTGGAGGGGCAGAGCAGTTGATTCCGCAGAGGAGCCGGGATCTAAGCTCCGTTCCCAGGCGATCATGAAGTGAGTGGTGGGGTGGCCTGCCCTCCGGTGTCCAGGCGGGGCAGGCGTTTCCTGTGTTGCGTACAGCTCGGCTTCCTGCTGCTTACCCGACGCTTCTGCACGGTTCCTCAGAGACGAGGCGTCCAGATGCCTGGGCTTTGGCCTCCCACCCCAGGGGACACTGCCCTTTGCCTGCTGCTGGGTGGGCGGGGGCGAGGGGGGCAGGGGTCATGACGAGGTGCAGTTTTGCTGTTAGAAGCAGGAAAGTGTGGGTCAAACGCTCCCGACTCCCCACTGGCAGAACGTGTGTGCACGCAGCTCCACGGCGGTGCAGCTGGCAGCGCACGTGTGCTGAGCTCGGGGACGGAGCTCACTGAATCTCGGGCCCAGCCCCACCCCGTGGCTCTGCCTGTGTCTGCAACCCAGGAGGCCGTGCGCCCGAGGGATTTCTACACGCAGATGTCACTCGTCCCACCTGCGCCCACACTGCACGGCTTGCGTGGCAGCTCAGCGCCGCCTGGGACCTGCGGGATGCGGTGCTCCGGACCCATCGGGTGGATGAGCGAGTGGGTTCACCCTGCCCGACAGCGCTCGGTTCTCTGCAGGAGCCGGGTTCAGAGGCCTCGGCCACCTGTCACGTGCAGGCGGAGGGGGCACGTTCCATGTCCGCCATCGGCCGCTCTCACCACCGTTCGAGTGTGTGCGCGCTGTGAAGTGCAGAGTGCGTTCACAGTCATTAAGGGTGGAAGACGCATTGCCATGAATCGCCCTGAAGATACCCCGCCTCGCCTAGACACACTCGCCCCATCCTCCCACCCCTTTCTGCAGCAGCCCTGGCGTCCTCCCGTTTGAGTCTTAGTTGTGCTGTCCTGGCTGCCTCCATGTCTGAGCACATTCACAAGTTTCCCCTTTGCAGTCGTCTTGACTCTGGAGAGTGGAAGTCCAGTGTTGCACCTGGCGGTGAGGGGCGAGGACAGTGTCTTCTTGTTTGAGCCTACCTTCCTGGTGGGTGGCGCTCGGAGCAGCCGGCACTGTGCTTTGGGTGGCACCTCATGCAGACCCTGAGGAAAGAGGACTCCAGAGCTGCTTCACTCAGAAACGGAACAGAACAACGAAGAATGTGTTTGAATTGAGGGGGAGGATTTTGAAAGGGGATTCTTGGCGGTGTGTCTTTTGCTGTGTCATCTTTTTAAAAATGTAAACATCCTCCGGGGGATGGTGGGGCACACCTGGAGTCCCAGCACTTGGGAGGCTGAGGCAGGAGGCTAACTGCAAATCTGAAGCCAGCCTGGGCTATGTAATGAGTTCAAGGTGAGCCTGAGCTATGTAGCAAAACCTTGCTTCAAAACAGAACAAAAAAGTAAACCTGCACTGTGGGGTTGGTCACCCTGTGCTTCGGGGCGTGTCTCATCCAGCTGTGCGTCTGCGCATTTAGTGCTGTGTGGTCTGTGCCGGCAGTCACGTGTCCTGTAGCTCCCGAGGACACGGTCCGGAGGCATCCGCCTGTGCGTATGGCCCTGTTCCCACGGCTGGTTCAGAGCTCCGGCAGCATTTCCATGTGGTTGTCCTCCCTCCACCCAGCTTGGGCTCCTGGCCCCTGAGTTGGCCTGATGGTTTCAGAACAAGATGGTGTCAGGTGCTCTTTCTTCCTTCAAGTGCAGCTAAACATGCGGGGGTTCTCTAGCAGACCCCGAGGAAGGGGCTCTGAGAGCCGCCAGGCTGACGGAGCTTCAGGTTTCAGCACCACGGCCAGCTCCCTGGTTCGCTAGGCTCCCTGGATGGGCTGACCACCGCAGAGCACAGAGCGAGCGAAGAGGCCGCGCCGGCAGCGTAGCTCGCCCCTCAGGCCTAAGGTGGGCGCCCCCGGGCCCCCAGGAGGTGGCCTGATGCACAGAGGCGGCAGCAGCCGACAGGTCTGCCTGCCCTAACTCGGGCACAGAGACAGTGCCGAGCAGCAGGATGTGGCCTTGTACCCTCGGACCTAGGGCAGTGACCCGCCGGAGACAGCAGCAAGGGACGGGGCGGCAGCCGCTGCCGCAGCTCCTGGGAACAGCAGCTCAGGACAGCACTGCAGGAGGCCAGGCTCAGGGTGACAACAGGAACCCGCTCCCTGTACCTGAGGGCGGGTGCACCACAGGCCAGGGGAGGCCGTGGGCTGGCAGTCACCACGCTGCGGTTCAGGCGTGGCTCCTGAAACAGGAGAAAACTTAGCCATGAACTGGGAGATAGGAAAAGGCCCCACGGGAATGACGGGAGCACAGCAAGCGAAGCGTGGAAGGTGGGAGGACCCAGCAGGGCGGCGACACCGAAGAGCAGGTCAGTGCAGGACGACAGCAGCCCGGTGGACTGCAAGCTGAAAATCAGAAAGGACAGGTGCCGCGGGAGAGGACCCTGCGGCGCACCGGCTGGGAGCGTACCAAACCCAGGGGAAGCGTAAGCCTGCAGGTTCAGGAAGTGACCGAACACCGGGCGGCCAAGTCAAAGCCCCCGCACATCAGGGTTTGTCTCCTGGAAAGATGGAGAAGAATCTCCACAGCCGGGAGACCCTCCAGGAGGGGGGGCGGTTCCCACCTCTGCCGCTGACTGGTTCCAGCCCTGAGCGTCCCGGCCCTGCACTGGTGAGGCTGGGTCTGGGTGCAGAGTGGGAGCCCGGTGCTTCCTGATGAGGGATCAGGCAAGGCAGGCGGGGACTTGGGACAGACAGACAGACGGGGAGGGGACCCTCTCACTCCCGTGTTCCTGCTTTGAGGGCTGAGCGAAGCAGCGCCGTGTCCCACGGGGCTGCGCATGGGCTGAGGTCATTGAATCCCCCGCGTGGGGGAAGGCAGCAAGGGAGATGCCAGAGGGTGGAGACTGCGCTGGAGGGACACCTGCGTCCAGGCGCGTGGGAAGCTGCGGCGCGTGGTGGCCACGCAGGCCGGCTGTGTCAGTACCGGGGCCTCGGACACCATGGAGAGAGGGCCAGCCCGCCTGAGCGACAGCGCAGCCCGGCGTGCTCAGGTGCCAGGCTCCATGGAAAGCAGAGGCCATACGAGCGGGAAAAAAAAACAGGCACACGCACACTTACTGTTTTCAAAAGCACTCGCTGGGGAGTTGGGGCGTGGACAGAGCGCACCTGGATTCTGTTCTCCTCCCTTCCTTCCCCACGCCGCCCCTGCCCACACGCCGAGCTCCGCCTCCTGCTTCCTATTGTCTGTCATTTTGCTCGTTATTCTGGGTTTCATGCAAGGAAAAACCACGCAGGTCTGAGCCTTGTGTCTGATTTATTTCTTGGAACAACGATCTCGAAGTGCACCATCTTCCTACAGCTGACCCGGTGTGCCCTCCTCTGCTCAGAGCGGGGCTCCGTGTGTGGATGCTGCACCCTCCGTCCGTTCACCTGTTGATGGGCACACAGGCCGCGTCCACGATTCACCCACCACAAGCCATGCTGTTGCAAACACGGGTGTGTGAGTGGCGCCATAATGCAGCGACTGTAGCTCTTTGTGGAAGACACCCAGAAGGAGAATAGCTGGGGCCAATGGAATTTCTAGTTTTAGCTTTTTCAGGAATCTCCATGGGGATTTCCATAAGATGCGCAGTTGCCACAGGGATTTGAACGCTCCACTCTGAGCACCCACGGGACGACCAGAGACCACCAGGACGGAGGGTGCGCACCAGCGCTGGAGCCCTCGCCCAAAGCCGCGCAGTGTCCATTCTTTTCCCAGTGCCTGGGTGCGTCCAGGTGGACCATGCCCAGCTCCAGAGCACTGGACGGCAGGCTGTGCTGGCTGGCAGGTTGGAGCTGGGCTAAGCATAAGGGCACGAAAACCTCCGGAGGTTTGCACCCTGTGCAGATGAATGACGCCCGGAATGTACCGGTGTCCCAAAGTACAGGGGCTGAGCTGGAAGCTCCAGCCACAGGTCCAGCACACAAGTGCATGAGACAAGGCTGGTGTGGTGGCACACGCTCGTCATCTGAGCTACTTTGGAGGCTGAGGCAGGAGGGCTGCCAAGTTGGAGACCAGCTTAAGCAATTTAGTGAGACCCTGTCTCTAAATACAGTGCGAACAGGGCTGGGGATGTGGCTCAGTGGTAGAGCGACCTGCATTTCCGTCCCCAGTAGTGACCAAAATTACTGGGATCAGAAAGTGTCATCTGTCAACTAGAAAAGACCGTAGTGCTAGCACCTGGGGCTCGCCAGGCTTGGGAAAAGCCTGCTCATCTCCTGTAAGAGCCAAAGCCACACAGCCCTGTCCCTGACAGCTGAGGCCCAGCACCGTCAGACCTCCAGCACTGGTGACAGGGTGGCGGGAACCGTGGGGCCTTCTGGAGGCCACGGTGGCCATTCAGCAGGGTGCATTCTGGGTGGTGGGGCCTGTGGGCCGTGGTGAAAAAACGGTCTTCAGTTTCCTAGGAAAGACCGTTACGAATTTATGTTCTTTCAATAAACACTCTCACCACCTGTACCAGACAAAGCCGGATTTTGCTGCGTGGTGGTAGGAGCTCCTCTGGACAGTGGCCACCGAGATGGGGCCCGGCCATGCTGAGCGGGAGGAATGGGGAGTCCGGGGGCAGCGGGGTCCGGTGCGAGGACCGCTGGCTGTCCACTTGGCCGTCTGGAAGGAAGGGGGTCCTCAGTGCAGGTGGGATTGGGACCCACTGGTAACGAATTTGCACTTGGGCATCTTGATGTTTCAGCCTTTGGCTGGGATAATTGCAGTTCTGAGAGGGGAAGCCCAGGACGCCCCCAGACTGCAGAGGTAGCACAAGGCCAAACTGCAGTCCGGTTCACACCCCAGATGTCAATGTGGATCTCGTCAGGACCGGAACAGCCGCATCGTGTGCTCTTGGCCGCTTCTCCTAGGGACTCCAACCCTGCTCATGCACATATGTGTGCACGGGTCACCTGGCAGCTTTGTTCATGGCTAAACCAATCATGACCCATCCACAGCTTGGAACACGGAGTACTACACAGCAGCAAAAAAGGGACGGACCACTGATAAAACTGGGAGGAACCTCGAGGGGATGATGTGGAGGAGACCAAGCTAACGCACAAGGAAGCGCGCCCTGCGTGACCCGGCTTATGTGACACTTGTGAAAGGGGAGGCAGATTAGTGCTGGGGGCGCTGGGGACGGAGGGCAGCTGTGGCTCTGCAGCGTGGCACAGGCGTCTTCCGATAACGTGCGACGTCCACGTCGGCTGTGTTTACACGCAGAGCTCTGCACACACAGGTGCCCACGCACTTTCCTGGTGCTGATGTCCTGCCAGGTGCAGGACTGGCCACGGTGCTGGGAGACCTTGGCACGGCCCCGAGTGTGCAGACTGTGCCCACGCGGGCGTCGGCCGCGATTTCAAAGGACAAAGTGAAAAGCCAGGTGGGAAAGACAACAGGTGCACGGCCCGTGCTCTCGTGTGCAGAGCTGGGAACCGGGGACCCCGGGGCTGTGTTGTCATCTGCGGCACCGGGCGCTCGGGGCGCCCACACCGGAGACGGTGAGATGCCGTCACCAGGGCCCAGGGACTCGGAGAGGCTGGTTAACAGGTTTGGACACCCGCGGAGGACCGCACCGTGTCCACGTGGGGGGCGAGACACCAGTGTGCCCGTTACTGTGGTTCCAGCACAGCCTGGAGAGGGACCCGATGCTCCGACACGGAGAGACCGGGCGCCTACGCGAAGGACCACGCTTGCTCGCTGCCGCTGGGCCCGGGGATCAGAGCACCACCCGGCCCTCACCAGCGTGCACGCTCGTCGTCTCGAGCCAGAAACCAGACTCAGCACCACCCTGGCCACCGAGAGCACGCGACCTCCCACCCGGGATGGTTTCCCAAGCAGAGCCCGCGAGGCGTTCACAGAGGCACACACGGCACTGTCCCTGCCTCCCCTCAGCCGCCTCTCCTCCCCGAACGGTGACCGCGCATGTGAGGCCCCTGTGCGCCCCCTCCTGGAAGCTTCTTGCCATCGTCCGGATGGAATCACCGCTGAGCTCCACGTCTGACCACTGACACCCTGGGCTTTATTGTGGCATCCTGGGGTAGGGCCCTTGGCTGCTCCGGAGGGAGGGTCTTGCGATTCGGCGGGGCCAGAAGCCTCCGCCATCTGTCTCCGCCTCGGTGCTGACCTGGTGTCGGTGGGGAGAGGAGGGGACACAGTGCTGCAGCTCCCTGGGAGCCGGCTGCCCCTTTCTCCTCTGCCCCGGGGAGGACACTGCTTTGTTACGAACGCTGTTAACACCCAGCGCCGTGGGCCAGGGGCACAGGCTGTCACGTCACTGGCACCACATCACAGTCCGTGAGGCCTCCGCCAGCGTCTTACGGGAACAAATCGCTCTCCTTAGACCCCCCACAGAGCCTCAAGTGACAGGCAGTGTCAGCGTCCTTTCCTTCTTGGAGGGAAAGCCGGGAAAAGAGCTCTGAGGTCCTGGACGGGTGGCCACGCCCCAGGAGGAGAGACTGCTCCTGGTGCGCAGTGTCTGCAGGGTCGAGCGTGGTGCTCCGAGGGCCTTACCTACTCATCCTGGGAGAGAAGGTACCTGGTCGTGTTCCGGATATAGCGCCTCGAGTTCTGGAAGAGAGTCAGGTTTCAGTCAATGCCGGGCCACAGGGGCTGCCCCTCAAATTCTGAGCCGTCAGAAGGCTTGGGGAAGCCAGAGAGGGCTTTCTGAACACTGCAAAGAAGCTGGTGGGGTCATACACACTAGTCATCCCAGCACTGAGGAGGCTGAGGCAGGAAGATTGCTGTGAGTTCAAGGCCAGCCTGGACTACACAGAGAGAGCTTGTCTCAAAAAGCAAACAACAAAACAAAACAGTAAAGCACTGCAGAGGCTAGGCATGGGGGCCCACAACTCTCATTCCAGCTACTCAGGAGGCTGAGGCAGGAAAATCACAAGTTTGAAGTCACCCTGAACTTCTTAGTACCCAGGCTAAGTAAAGTGTAGAGAGGGGGGCCTGGGATGTGGCTAAATGGTTAGAGCGTTTCCTCAGCCTGCAGGAGGCCCTGGGTTCCAGGTCCAGGACCACACAAAACAAAACAACGACCACCCAAACCACACACCACCGCCCACACCCTTCCATGCACAGCCTCTCGAGGGGTGAGCCGGAGTGGAGCCGGTCAGCCAAGCTCAGAACCACAACGCCTCGGTCCGGCCCACTTGGCCTAACCTTTGCTGAAGTGAGGGCTGTGGGGAGGTGCTCCCATGTGTCCCCAGCACTGACACCCAGCGAACTACGAGATGCAGGCCGTCTGGCCTTCGCACCCCAGCTCTGCCCGCAGCAAGCGGTTTGCCCAGCAAGCCTCGCGTTCACACCATGTGGCCCTCTGGGCCGAGTGGACCCGCTGTACCCCTGGGGGCCTGGGGGCACCACATACCTGCCAGTCTGTCTCAGACGCATGGCGGTTGTAGTGAGTCTTGCGGTCGCCCAGCCGCTTCAGGATGGCCTGGTTCTCCAGGGTGATGCGCATGAGCTCGCGGTTCCGCATTTCTCTGTTCAAACTGAAAAGCACCAGATGGGGTGGGTGGGAGACGGCGCTTCTCCCACACTCGGGCAGCACCTGTCTGCTGAGCCCAAGCACCACGGCGGCCTGCGGACGGCACCACGCCTGAGCGTGTGGAGGGTCGCCCCGGCTGCCCAGCCCCGCAGCCTGCCAGAAAACGCAGCTCTGTGGCTCTGGGGTGAATCTCAGGCTGGGTGCTCTGTCCAAGGTCCCAGAAACCAGCACTGGCAGGGACTGGCTCCCGCTGGATGACACAAGTAGTAGTTGGCAAGTTTTGGTTCATCTCATTTTCCTTTACTTCTAGTTTTGAGATTCACAAAGGTTGGCCTTGAACTTGAGGTGTTCCTCCTGCCTCAGCCTCCACCTTCAGAGTGCTGGGATGACAGGTGTACGGCATCACACCAGCAAAAATATATATCATTTCATCTCTCCCTGGTGCATGGGACCCAGCAGTACCCAGGAAACAGGTGTGGAACTGGTTTAAAGAACCACTTATCACAGCCTCAGCTGGGGGGCTGGATCTGAAGTTTCTGAGGCTGCAATCCTGACCCCAGAGTGGTGGTATTCACAGGAGGGGTTTGGGCGGATGACTAGGTCACCCCAAGGGGGCCCGTGCTCTCATCCAAGAAGCCTGAGGGGCCCCTAACCTGTCATGCCACACAAGCTTACAGTCCACACGGCTGGAAGCAGCCCCGACCCAACAAGGACCTCGCCAGCACCTCCGCCCCGGACTTCCCGGCCTCCTGAGCCGAAGCTTGGGTTGCTGCTGTGAACAGTCACCGGTTTATGGCACGGCAGCCTGACACTAGGCCACAAGGTCGCAATGTCACAAAGCCTGCTGTGACAAACCCGGGTAAGTGTCCTCGGTGAAACCCAGGTCAGCATCAGCACCCTTGAGAGACCCCCTCCTGGATCTGCCTTCTCCCTAGAGTGGTCTCTCGGGACACCTCAGGAACCCGGCCTGAGGCCAGCAGGTGCGGCGCTACCTCTTGGAGAAGTAGGAGTTCCAGCAGTCCACCTTCGCAGGGCCGCGGTGCGCACTGGCGATCTTCTCACACAGCTGCCTGTTCTCATACTCAATTCTGTCGATTCTCTTTTGCTCATACTGTAAGAGGCCCCAGCACACCGTGGTGATGCACACGGCTTAGCGTGGGTCCCTGTCCCCTGGTGCTGTGGGAAAGGGCGCCATGGAGCACCCCGGGAATACGGGGCAGTGCTCAGGGGACACGGGCGGGCCGGGGAGGCGCCTTGGGTCAGGTGGGAGCTTTGAAGGCTGGGTGTGTGTGTGTGTGTATCTTTAAAAGAAAGATAAAGACCTGGGGGCTGGGGATTTAGCTCAGCAGCACAGTGCTTGCCTGGCAAGCTCAAGGTTGTGAGTTTGATTCCCAGTACCAGAAAAAGCCAAACAAAAAGAAAGATAAAGACCAGCCATGCCCACCCGCAGAGGGCACGGAGGGTACCTGCAGTTTGCTCAGCTTTAGAATGAGGTGTGTGTGTGCCACAGGAGGCTTGGTGTCCACAGCGGGCTTTGCTGAAGGGGACGGCAGGAGGAACAGTGTCAGCCCAGGAACCCGGGCCGTGCCCCGAGCCCTAGGCGTAGGGTTTTATTCTGGCCCCAACCCCACCTGCCATCTCAGTGTGGGTCACTCCCCCAGACTGACACCGCCGGTGTTTGAGCAGAAGTGACGGAGCGGCAAGGGTCGAGTGGGACTTAGAGACGGGGTGACTTTCAGCCGCCCTCCGCGCCAGCAGCCCACTGCTGCCACCGAGTCCCACCAGAGTTTAGGCCGAGGGCGGCGGTGTCCGAGACAAGCCCTGGGGCCCGTGCCGCGCCCCCTCCACAGCACTCAGCAGGGCAGGCCGAGCCGCCCAGAGCCGGAATCAGGCCCTGGCTGGCTTTGCTGTGGTCCCTGAGGTGCCCCTCCTGATGCCCAGCCCGCAGGTTCTGCCCAAACCTATCTGGAGCCGGTTCCGGTGAAAGAGGTAGTGGCCCAGGTCCAGTTTCTTCCTGTAGGCAGTGGTCTGCCTGTGGTTGGAGACGATCACGGGGTAGGCCAGGTAGTCCAGGGAACTGTTCATCTCTTCCTCCTCGTGTCCCTGCAGAAGTGAGGTGCCCAGCGGCTTTGTGAGCTGCTGAGCTGTCCCCAGGGCAGGCTGTCACAGTTGGCCAGTGTGACATCAGGGGCCTCTGCACAGCAACTGGAGGAGTATGTGCCTGGCTGCGTCTGGGCGTCCGTCTTATTTATTTGCTTTCTATTTAGAAGAATTTTTGATTTTACTATTATTACTGCTTTTTTTTGAAACAAGTTCTCACTATGTATTCCAGGCTGGCATCAAACTAACTCACAGTGATCCTCCTGCCTCAGCCTCCCAAGTGTTGTAATGCCAGGCACACACCACAACGTCGGGCTGTTTTTAAAACCGACATGAAACCTGTAGGTATTTTGGGGTGCAGGGCACTAAAGTGACCCAGGTGTACGCTGTGATCAAGTCAGGGTAATAAGCACTTCTGACCCCTGGGACTTTTATCATTCTATGTGGGGGCTTTTGTTTTTCTTCGTTATTTTTTTGAGGCAGGGTTCTGCTATGTAGCCCAGGCTGACCTTGAACCTGGCAGTTTTGCCTCAGCCTCCCCAGTGCTGGGGTTACAGGTGTTTGCCCCCGTGCCCAGCTTGTTTTTCTGCTAAACTAAGTCCACATCTAGAAGACATGGGGAGACATGGAGAAGGAGCAGGGGTGGGGGCCGTGAGGGGACAGTGCAGCCTTGGCCCTGCGTCTGGTGCTGGGTTGGGAGCCGAGGCTTCCAGGGAGGCAGAGGTGCTGGAAGGTACGGGACCCAACGCCTCCATCTGCCGGTGCGGAAGTGGCCCGGCAGCCGCAGCGCTGCTGACAGCCAAGAGCGGTGCCTCGCTGCGGCCTTGGGAAGGGGCCGCGGCTTCTCCAGCGGGAAGCGGCTGTGGCTGCCGGAGACCTCTGTCCACTCCACGCGCGGCGCGGAGCTCGGGGAGGGCTGGGCTGGGGGCTGCGCCGGCTGTCCCCACTCGCGCGGGGCGTCCCCAGCGGAGCCCGCGTGGAGCCACCGCGCAGAGGACGCCCTCGCTGGGCTCCCTGGGCTCGAATCTCCCGACCAGAACCTCCTGGGAGGGGCTCAGGCTCGGCGCCTGTTACCTTCCGCGCTCGCGCCTCCTGTCCTTGGCCACTCCCGCCGGTCACCTGGTGTCACCTCGCGCCGCGCTCGGACCCGCGGTCACCAAGGCCGGGGTGGGGCGTCCGCGCGGCGCGTCCGCACTCGGGGAGCTCTGGCTTGGGATTCCGGATCGGGATCGGCCTGTGTTATTACCTCCCCTTCGGCAAATGCGCCCGAGGTGCAGTCTCCGGGTCGGAAGCGAGCCAGCGGCGCAGGGTGGGGACCCTGGAGGCGACACGGGGTGTGCCCGGCCCACGGGGACAGGGACGGCGCCCCGCACTGACTGCTTGTCCGTCCCGGCCCACAGTCACAGAAATCAGCTAGGCTGAGGGCTCCACCAGACGGCCCTCCACCCTCAAGAGGGCGGAACTTCCACCAGGCGTGAGCCCCAGGGTCCTGCGGAGAGCAGAGGAGCCTGCTGGCCCCTCGCGTAGCCTCCCTGCCGCGGCCACCAAGCGGTCTGGGCGGGGCACGGGGCGGGGCACGGCCTAGTGGAGGCGGGGCTAAACGCAGGCGGGGCCAGGCGAAGGGCAGGGGGCGAGGCTGGGCTC